CCCCAAAACCCCAAAACCCCAAAACCCCACAGCACTAAAAATTAAAAAAAATTGGGATAAATAAGCAAATAAAGTAAATAGCTTATTGTTATAATTAGAAACTTTCTTTTTTAATAAACTTAAATTTTAGCAAGTATAAACTACAAGATCATGTAGAAAATGCAGCAATAACACAACTTTTCACTCCTTTATGACTAGAACTATAACCAATGCATGTAAGTTACTTCATGCTTACCTAGATCTTTTAGGCATAATTTCCAGGGGAATCAATACTAACTGCAGAACATTCATAGACTAGAAACAATCAATCCTAATAACGTTGTTCCTATTGAAGATTTAAAATCTGCCAGTCTTGGACTCTAATAGTTTTACCTTCTAAATCATCCTGAATAATCAAGATCTAGTACAATGCTCTTTTAAACTCCATTCAATCAACTCTAAGATAAAAATATACCATATTAGAATTCAGAAAAACTAGAATTAAGAATGACTGAATCTCTTCCTTATTTTGAAACTAATAACTTAAAAAAATAGGATGGAGTTAGTGATGAATAGGGTACTCTTGGTAGTGATCCATCAACTAATAATATTCAAATTTCTAAGTAAAGTAATATGACTCATTACCATAATAATCATTCTGTTAAATCGAAGGAAGCTAGAAATGATTGCTTCCTTATTAACCTAGATGAAGCTCAGAAATCATAAGTTTAAATTGAATAACTCTTTGATTTTTAAAAAAGCAAAATCAAAACCCCTTAATAATAAATTTCAGAATAGAACTATACTGAAAGTGAAGAAATTGATGAAGACTATATTAATAAGGAAAATTAAAGAAGAAAGAGAGGACCTAAAATTAGAAAAGCAAATTCAAAGATCTTTGAATGTGATTTCTGCCATATTTAGGTAACAAGAAAGGACAACCTCTAAAAGCATATAAAGAATATACATTAGTAATAGAAACGTTTTAAATGTGGAATATGCTTCAGGCAATTTACAGAGAAAGGAAACTTGACAGTCCACTACAGATTACATATGAATATAAAGCCTTATAAATGTGAGGTATGCAACATATAGATTAGCTCCAAAGGTAATCTTAAGGATCATTAGAAGAGACATTTCAAGAAAAAGTAAATTATCATTCTTAACCATCTTTAGAGATTTCTAATGTACTATATGCCAGAAGAGTTTTTATAGAAAAATTTAATTAAACAATCACATTGACAAGAAGCATTATAGTACAGCCAAGCCTTAAATAAGACTCTAGGATCAACAAATCAAAAATTCATAATAAGTTGATGATGATCAAATAAGCATAGATTATGATAAGAAAGTTCTAAAATCATTCTTATGTTATCCACTTATCTAGAATCATAACTTAGAGTCCATATATTAAAAATTAGCATGACTTTAAATTAAGTAAACAACCATCTACATAATTCTAATCTAATAATTATTTATTGTTAATTTGCATTTTTAAAAAGTAAAAAAGCAAAATTATTTTATTATTTTATAACTCCTACTTATTAGCATATCATATTCTCTTCTTGGGGTTTTGGGGTTTTGGGG